CAGCGCCCGCGGGCCCCTGTGCGGGCCGGGTCGGGGGCCGGGAGCTGCCGGGGCCCCTCGGGGCCGCGAGCGCCAAGGCAGCCGCTCTGCTGGAGCCGCAGGCGAGTTCGTTCCCGATAACCCCCTGCAGCCAACAGCCTTCCTTACATAAACTATCAGAAATACGTGTTTGAATGTTGGCTGCAGCCTGCGTGACCCTTTGCGGAGCCCTGCACCGTGTCAGAGTTGTGCCCAGCCAGGGTCTGCTGCGCTGTCTGTGCAGAGCTCCAGATCCAGCTTTCAGCCAGGTCTCCAATTCCTGGACATTTTCCTTGGGGCCAAGTCTGACCTTGTTAAAGCTCTTGCCTATTTAAGGGACAGAGCACAATTGTTCTTAAAATGACTAATATCATATTCAAGGATTATATAAACTCTAGCGTTGAAGGCAGAATATTTCTTGTATTTCACCTTGGGTAACGGGAAGTTGAGAGTTGTACAGACTTCTGCTTTCTGTGACGTCTGGAATTTCCTTGCCTGTCCCCTCCTTTCAGCTGAGAAGTTTCACCCCATTTCTTGCAGCCCCACGAGGGGGTGGGGAGCCCTGGGGAGCAGCGCTGCTCGCTGCCTGTTGTTGTGTTTCGCTTCATGCTTGTCCTTTTGCCTCAGTTTTCAGTTCCTGCTCTTTGCCTTTTTACGCTGCTTGTTTTCTTGTAGCTCTTTGTGGTGTTTGGTGTCTGCATGGGCGCAATGCCACTCTACGTGACTTTGACTACAAACTGCTGTTCCGGAGACGGGGACTGGGCTTGTTTCCTTGGCGAAGCCATTTTGTGTCTCATTTTTGAGAATTACGAGTGAGTTCGGGACATTATCAGATAGGAAAAACATCAGAATAGTGAAGTTTGCAGCTTCTGGCCCAGGGGCAAGACTGCCAGTTGTCCTTTGTCTCCAGGAGGAAAAAAATGTGAATTGCCCTTTTGCTGCAAACTGCCCGCTTTCCTCCTCGGAAAGCTCTCCCTGAGGGAGTGAAGGACACGCGAGTTCCCTGCACTGGGTGTGAGCCAGCGGAGCTGCCTCTGGTTTCTGTGGCTGTCCCGTAAGTGCCCTCAACTGCTAAGAGCAAGAGTTTCTGGAGAACTTTCTAATGTATCCCTGGACTTCTACCTCAAGATTTTATTTTGACAAGGGACAAGAAAACTAACAGGCTGTAGTTGTTATTCTTCTGGGCTTTGACACTTTTGAGAGCTGAGTGCTTCAGAAAATGTTAGAGAGCTCTCACATTTTGATCTGAGGGTCTCGAGTTGAGGGGGAAAGAAGATGCTCCGCAAACCATGCGGTTATTTGTCAGGGAAAGGACCTGACGTGAACTTGGGCTGTATTGAGAGAGCCCTTCTTGACTGCTGCCTTAGTGTAAAAGAATTTGAAATGAGAGCAAAGCCACTCGCGCGCAGCAGCCAACACGTGTTTTGCTTTTGTGTGGCTGTAATAACATTTTCAGCGTGTGGGTGTGTGTTGGCGGGGGGGATCTTTCAGTATCTGCCAGGCCCTCTGTGCAAAGCTGCCTATTGCGCTTTATCTTGCACTACCAAACCAAGAGCGCTGGAGCGTCCTCCAGAGAAAGTAACGTGACTCTGAGTCAGCTCGTTCCTTGCTCGCTCCCCTTGTCTTGGTGCTGCGAGTGCCTTCCAGGGGACACCTGGGGCTCCAGGCGGGTGCTGGAGCCAGCATGCTGTGCCGGGCACTCCGAGGGTGTCCGGTGGGAAACGGGGAGCAGCGTGCCAGGAAAAGACCCGGGTGTTTCCATGCAGCGCACCTGCAAACAAGCCTTTTGAGTTATGTGGAATATATTCGTGTACTTTCCTTTGGAGCCAAACAAAATGTTTTAATTTTCCTAAAATCCAATTTGTGGCAATCACTAGTTAACTTCCTTTTAGTCTTTATGACTCGATTGCCATGGTTACAGGAACAGCGGCGCTTGGATGTTGCGTGAGAAGATCCCGTGCAGCCGTGTTGCTGCGGCGGGGAGCGGCGCGGCGCTGCACAGAAACGGTTAAGGGTTTGCAGGGGAGCGTTTCCTGCGGCAGGACGCGCCGTGCTGCTCTTAGTCACGCTCCGACCCGCGCCGGGCTGCGGGGGAGCAGCTCTGGAGCGTGCTGCTATTGCAGGACAGCAGCAGTGCCGCCGCTCTCCGGGCCCTTTGAAGGTGGTGTTGATGCTCCTTAACGCAGCTCTGCACATCAAGGCTGCTGCTTCTCAAGCCGCAGCGTACGCACGCTGCCATTCGGTTGCCCTCCTTCCTTTGTACGTTACTAAAAAGTTCAACCCTGCAACCGTTTTCCCTGCTTGAGCAGGGGTTTGGACTAGATGATCTCTAGAGCTCCCTTCCAACCTCAAACATCCTGTGATTTAAAGGGAGCCAAAGTTTTTCCCCCTCCCATCTGTGGTAACATCCTCAAGTCGCTAATTTGAATTTTCTGTAATTAGTGATGCTGAGAACAGTGTCCACTTTGGAGAACCTGGTCTCAGCCTGAGCTTCTTAGCTCTGTGTGTGTGTGTGTGTGTGTGTGTGTGTGTGTGTTGAAATCAAGTCTGTATTTAGCCCTTGGACAGCTGGGATCAGGAAGGAAGGAGTCCAAACCGGCGTGAGTCACTGAAAGATCGCTGAAGGTGTGCAAGTGCTAGGATTTGGTAAAAGTTCAGATCCGTAAGAAACTGAAAACTGTGATTGGCCTCAAACTATCACAGTAGAAAAAGAAGAAGAAAAAAAGAGCCAGGGAATTGTTTTTAGCTGTTCTGTTCCCGCCCCCGTTAGCGCCAGGTCCTGCGTTTGTGTGCGCTGGCTCGAGCGCCCGCAGCAGCGGCTGGGCGGTGGCTGCGTTGCAGCGTCTGGAGCGCGTCCCAGCGCGGCGGCCTGCGCGCGCCGCGGCGCTGGATAAATAGTGCTAATTGTGAGCAGCTTCCCGGCGACCGCTGCGCGCGGGGACAGCTTCCCTTTCTTCTTCTATTGCTCGTTTCTGATGATGTTTTTTATTAAACGCTTGCTGACAGAGGTACTATAAAAAGATTTAGGATTTAACACATGCAAAATTAAGCCAAAGTGGGTGTTTGCCTGGGATGTTGTAAATTAAGTTTTGGTAACTTTTTAGACCTTTTAAATTTGTTTTAACATTTCTCATGTTGTTGTTATTCAGCTGTCTGTGTAGATTATAAAAACATTGCAGAAGTGTGAGCAGTTGGTGAAGCACACTTCAGCCATTAGAGAAGTGCCTCAAAGAGGAAACCAATATGCAACTGCACATTACGCTGGCCTCTGAAGTAACCATGGCCTAGGAGAGAGATTTTTTAGGCAATAGCAACTTTTTTTGGTTCACTCCACTGGGTATACACTGTGAGTAGAGAGAAAAAATTCTGAGAAAAAATAAGAGTGGAGGGTAATTTGTAAATGTTTTGCAGCATCTTCTTGTCCTGCTGTGATTTTGCCAGTGTACCCCTTTGAAAACATCATTGCTTTTGATTAGCCAAGTTAATCCGCTTAGCTTTTACAGTTTATTTTCAAGGTGACATTTACCTGAGAGAAACAAACTTTGTTTTATTCAGCGAAATTTGGAGATAGTAATCTTAGTAATTATTTTCCAGTGTTTAAGGTAAAGTGACTGGCAGTGATTATGAGTGTTTTAGTGTAATTGGTCTTCTGTCTTCCCCAGTTAGGAGGAAAAAAAATAAAAAAATAATAATAAAAAAAAAGAAAAACCCACAGAAGACAATTGAGAGCATATTGGCAGCCAGTCCTCTTGGTACCATATTTGGTGGATATTGAAGCAATATTCTGTGTTGGCTTTTTCATAACTACAGCAAAGGATAATAGTTGATGATGTGAATTGTCAATGTGGTTAAGCAAGGTTTTTGTTGGAAGAATGCAAATAATTTATATTAGCACTGCAGCAATTGTTTAGGAATGGTTAGCTACTAACCCTCCTTATATCTATGCAACCTGTATGAGCATTATTCTTCTGTCTTTACACAGTGAATCTCTTCCTAACTGGGAAAATAGAAAGTGCTGTCACCTCATTAGGTAAGACATATTTTTCTTATTTATGTTTATTGTTCTTTTAAAGTTGTTGCTTCTTTCTCACCTGAAGACATCTCTAAACAATACCATGTGACCTTTGCTTGACAAAAAGAGTAACAATGACATTTTAGGAAGTGCAGAACTTTAAATCTTCCTGGGGTTACTACATGCCAATACATCCGGGGAAAAATCTTTGTGTAGGAAATGTGCCTGGGAATGTCAAGCTGAGGAAAGTGTCCCATTCCCAGGGGGAACTAAAACTGGAATGTCAAAAATGTCTCATGAATGTCAAAGTGGAAATGTAACCAGAATTGCAGCACTTAGTGCAATTTCCTCGTCTACAGCCCTACCATTACTTGCTTGCTCCCCTTGTGCCTGTCAGTCGACAGTCACGTTGATGGACATGTTTTCTGCCCAAAGAGGTTGCAACTGTTAAATTAAAACGGAATATCCAAATGTGGAAAACAGCAGAAAAGGAGTTGGGCAAACACAAAAATAATTGTAAGTCAATGGGTTGATTGATGTGGGACTTTGAGCTTTCAAGTCAACACGGGGTTTTGAAAGCAGATTTAAATCAGCAAAGGGTAGTCATTTTATGATTAGGTAACACCGTAAATTTAGGTTAGGGGAAATTTGGATGAACTACTTAACGACACGTGCTGTTTTTAACATTGTCTTTCAATTCCTTTACTGGAAAAAATCCAGACTGAAATCTATCTCCTAGTCAATGTTCTGTCTGGATGATTCTTTGGCTTTTGATAGAGCCTGGCATCCGTAGGCTGTATGGTAAATGAGTGTACTAAGTGTAACCTGAGTAATTATGCAGTGACTGGCTTAGGTTGGTGATACAACTTCAGTTTGAAATACATAACACTCCATCCAGTCGGCTCTGCTGCCTTCTAGTGCTGTTTTTTTCTTGCTAGAAATCGGTAGAGATAGATGAAACGTTTTGCCTTTATTCTTTCAAATCTGTGGAAAACCTTGGAGTACAGCAGCCTTCATGTTCTCGTGTCTTGGTACAGCTTTGAGTGGCTCTGTTTCCCGGCAGTGTAACTAGAACGGCGGGGGCAGTGATGATAGAAGGTCATAGCAGAAGGGTGGCTCATGTAGCTTCTCTTGTCTCTGTATTGCAGGTTAGGATCACGCGTTCCTAAGGCAGATGACCCTGGCAGGAATCGTTTTGCAGGTGGTCCGACTGAAAGAAAGAGCCCTGATAAAGAGTTGGGAGGAATGCTTGCTCTGCTGAACACATCCTGGCAGAGCAGCTCGTTACAGAGTTGATCTTTCCTGTAGGGTAGAGCATGGTTTCTTTGCAGAAATAATGAGCCCTGGGGATCGCAGGGAGAGCCGCCACCTTCTCTATGCTTGTGCACGTCCTTCCAGCTGGAGAAGCTGCAGCTGCAAGGGAGCCCTGCTCGCAGCGTGTGCCCTTGCTCTCAGCGAGCCGGTTCAGCCTGTCGGTCTGGCGGAGCACTCTGCTGCCAACGCGGACGAGCGGGTCGGGTCGAGCCCTGGGGCTGGGCGTTCGCTGCCTGTGAGGGTGGGCAGCAGCGCCTGCTGGGCTAGATAACGTGAGGGAGCCCTCAGAGAGGCCTTCTTCTCCGCTGGAGGCAGCGCGTGCGCTGATGGAGCATCTTAAGGAACTAGGAAGGGTTTCCTGCCTAGCCTGAGATAACTGCAGAGAAAATATATGGGAAAAAAGTTCCTTGTGGCAGGTGCAAACCATCCCTCATCCTGGAGCAGATGGTTGAGATGTGTCCCTTGTGCCTGGAACAGACTCTGGCGTATTGCACAACGGTGCAAAACTGCAGCATTTATGCTGGGATCATCTTAACAGTTACTCCTGTGCAGTTCAGTGCCCTTCGTGCAAACTGTCCTGCCCTTTGGTGGAGCGGAATCTCTTGCAAAAATAGCAGTAATACTGTTTAGACACCTTTTTGAAGATTTCCTTGCAAGTTCCTAGTAGCAAGTATTTGGTATGCGTTCAACTGGAGGAGGGATTGACTGCTCTTCACAGTAGAAGGAACCCACCAGACACTTGATTATTACAGAAAGTCTCATTAAGATTTATGTCTGCTTGACAGAAACACTCTGAACTCAAGCCTTTTTTGGCATTTGTTTAAAGAGTTTTTATCTTTTTAGCTATAAAGTAATCATTACTAATCTGTTGTCAGGATTTATCTGTTTTTAAGTAAGCCATCTCTGAAAATAAGATTTTTTTTTTGGTTTATTTGTCGGTTTGCCAAGTTGGGACTGGCATACTCTTATGTTACAGTTCTGCAATAATCCTAACTGTAAAAACATTAGGCTGTTTGGGGCTTGTAGGAAGTTGTGTTTTCCCTCTTGGCGCAGAAAGGCTGCAGGAAAAACAGTTGTAGAACAATCCAGATAGAAAAGGTTGTCGAGTTGTCTCTGATGGGGCCTTGTGAGGAATCCAGGATCGCGCCTTTTGCTTCGAGATTCCCCTGAGGTGTCTCGGTGGCTCGAGAGGCCTTTGGAGTGTCTCTGTGAGGAATGGCTGTGCGCTGAGGCGCCGCGCGGCGCTGCCCGCGTCCCGCTCCGGCCTGCGTCCCCCTGTGCCTCCCCGAG